TATTTGTGTTAATACATCAATACCTCAACAACAAAAAATTTGTTACTTAGACTATTTCAACTTGCCAATGTTTTGTTGCTATGGTTACTGGAATGTCACAGTTTATTTTAATAAAATTTACATGTAAATTGAATAGGATATTTTAAAACACACATTTGTAAATGTATTTTCTTTCTATTAGAAATATAAATTGAATTAGATTATTCAATGATTGTCAAGATTTATTTTAAACAATTGAAAACTTATTATACTACTTATAAATCATGAATACATCATGTATTATAGGATTAAATAAATATACAATAGTGAAAATTCATTTCAATAATTCAACATCATTTATTTATCATTATTACTACTTATATAATATTTATCAGTATTGGATTATAAAATTGTTTATTTTAAATTTCATGATTTTTTGTAATATAAACACATGTGGATTAGCTCAACCATGGTTTAGTTTAGAAGCTGTAAAAGAGTATTTAGATGTTGCAAGTAAGTTAATCAAACTATTATTTATTTGTTTTATTTTACGTTTTGAATAATAATGATCATAATGGGATATGTTCTTTAATCAATGTAAAATTTTAATAGTTGAGATCATGATTCAATTGAAGCTACATCATCATGGAAAACCTGAAAGTACTGGATGGCCATTTCGTCTTATTGTGGGACTCCTCAGCAGTACACATCCACAATCCCATGATGGTCTAACTTCAATTGATTGATGATTTCAACTATATAAAATTATTAAAATCTCCACAAAACCCCCTCTTAATAATGATCATATGCTCACAAGTGAGTGGCTCCATGAGTTCTCCTGGAGTTCTAGTGAGAAGCAGTGACCAGTGAAATTCAACTAGGTCTGTTGTGAGATAGCAACTCACTGAAGTCAATGGTTGGTGTCGCTCAACTTCGTGGATTGGTTGAAGTTAGACATTAACACCGTTAGATGCCAGCTGGTCCAGTGGTCTAGATGGTAAGAGCTCACGCGTTAGACTGATAGGTCACGGGTTGGAATCTCACGAGGGGGGATAATTGATACCCACTTCTGAGGAGTTCCACAATAGAACGAAATGGCCATCCAGTGCATCCAGCTTTTGCATGGTGGTCTAGCTTCAATCGACTCATGATCTATACTATTAAAATTACTATAATATCAACAAAACCCCTTCTAATATAAATGTAAGTTTTATTTATTACGGTTCGATAATACGTCAAATACTACTTTTGAGAATGGTATATAATGTCACATTTTATTAACTAGTAAGAAGATTGTCAGTAGTCATAGTAGATTCAATTACATTTGATTATTCATCGAATTCCATATATCAATCATATTTCCTAACATGTTTAAAATATTAGAAATAAACGGATCATAGAGATGATTATTTTTCTAATTCATAACACTTCTCAATTGATATCAAAATAAGCACGAGAATTTATGATCTCTTCGAAAACCTTCCTAACTGATTAACATTAAGAAAGTGTACTGTGCAATGAAATATACAAGATATATATCTCTTAGTATTTTTGTTTTCTAAGATTATTAGTAGCTTATCAATGAAACCACTTGCTGAAAGCCAAAAATTACATTAAGTTTGATGATCCTAATTACAAATTTCCATGTTCATAACACGGTACATTCAAATACATAACTAGTACATTATAGATTCTATATTGACTATATACATATTAGATTAAACAGTCATAATAAGGTATTACAAAAATCAAATTTTTCTGCCTTACCTAATAAGTACAAAATGTATTTCATCTAGACTGTAATTTGGATATTTATATCCCACATTAAAACTATTTAAATAATTGTTTAATAGCAATCAACGGATAGAAACAATGTCAATGTATGGGTATATGTTACTTAGCCACTGTATATACATATTTATGCATTTTTCTAGTCGCCCGGCAGAAAAGTAGAAACATTTTATAAAAAAAAACCTCTTCAGTGTCTCATAGGGTTATCTAACAAAACTATCAGTTGTTTTCTCAATTAAATATTTGTGTGTATGTTTGTGTGTTTGTATTTTTCTCTTCTCTTCAAATGGACATAAACTTAAAAATTTTTATTATCAGATACATCGTTTAAACCTACCGCAGATCATATTTTGATTAAAAGAAGAAAAAAATTTTTTATATTTTTAATGAGTCATTGAACTTTATCTAATAAATAAGCCTAGTAATACATTTTAATTCTCTATAGATTATTTCTATAGTTTCATGTTTTTTCTCGGGAAAAAGAAAATAACACAAAAAACAACTAGCTAACTACAATTATTTTTTTTTAGAAAAAAAATGAAAAACATGATTATAACTTGTTATTTTAACTTGTATAAAAAAAATTTTACATGTTCCTTTAATTATTTTTAATTAGATTATTGATTATTAAAAGTTTTTAAATGGTGTTACCATGCAAACTTTATTAGTACTCTCTCTAGTAATTTAAGTTAGGTTTCGTGTATCTGATCGTTAGCTCATGTTTAACAGAAGAAAAAAATCAATATTTTCTGTGATAATCCCTATTAAAATTTTTGTTTTTTTCTATGTGTTTAACTTTAAAGTATGACTTTCATCAATTTTTATGTTGTATAGTGAATTATAATATTGTTGCCATCATGGAAATTAGCACACTATCTGTTATAAAGCGTCTTTTTTATTCATAAATTTTAATTTATTCACAAAAGGGAAGACTGGCAAGGTTGGACTTGATAGTTACAAATAAATTGAGTATTGAGTTGTGAGGTAATAATAAATATAAATTATTGTTACATTACAGCGGGTTGGAAATTTGTATTTCTGACGTTTCGTGACCTAGTGTAGCCACTTCTTCAGAAAAAGGAGATTACACTAAGTCATATGAACGTCAGAAATACAATTTTAATGCTCATTGGACTATAAAGAATCTTTAATTAAACCAATGAATCTGATCAAAACTGTATGGAAATGGAAAACTGTCGTTTTGGAAATACGTAAATATATATAAACTGTGCAATCAGTAAAAACAGACCAATACAGAGCTATTGTTTATCCAACTGCAGATTCATTGAAAAAATAAATTTGTAAATACTTAACTAATTTAAAACCATTAAGTGACTTTATCATCTGTAAAAGAAGATTACACAATCAAAAGCAGACTGTTCATTTATTGCATAATGCATTTCGAGAATTATATTTATAAATGTTTTGTTTTTAGCTGTATGATTATCACGAATTACGATTGCCCATTTAGATACAAGCAGCCTTAAAAAGCCTCCGTTATATCCAAATCATATATTTCAAACCTACTTGATTTATATACAAGCAAAATCAAACCACATCACACCATAAATAGAAAATAGCATTTGTACAAGATCAAGCAAAAAGTTGCTGGGATTATGAAAAAACTGTTACCAAAAGATGGAGAATAATTTGAGGAATATCACATAAAAGTAACCATTAAGTCAATTAAGAGCTTCTACTAGTAGGGGCTCAGCTTGGAGCCCCTCTGGAGTTACTGCCAGTCCCAAGCCCGGATATAGGAGGAGGATTGGGCAGGAGTTAGCAAATCCAACCCGTACAAAACTAACTCGCTAACAAAACGCTAACCATAAAAAATAATACAAACTATTTACACAACTAAAATATATGTATAAAATTAGTCCACAAGTAATTTCAAATGGTGACCATACATTTATTCTCGTCTTGACATAACAATTAAGATCTTAATACGTAAAACGAAGCACTGAAAATTGAAAACAAAAATCTTAAGAAAAATCTTAAGAAAAGTTAAAATGTTTAGAAATGTTATAGTTGAAATCATGAGTCAATTGAAGCCAGACCATCATCAAAAACCTGGATGCACTGGACGCCCGTTTTATCCTAATATGCAACTCTTCAGAAATGTACATCCACAATTCCGCTCATGGGATTCAAATCATATTAGAACAAAACGCCCGTCAAGTGTTTCATGTTTTCCATGGTGGTCTAGCTTTAATTGACTCATGAATTCACAAAACCTTCTTTTAAATAGAAATGAACAGTTAATTAACTCACACAATACTTTTTTTTAATGAAACAAAATGTGTTTTTATTCGGTACAGATTGATGTCCAATAATAAAAACCTACTTATTTTTGACAATATTATTCCATATTCCATCTAAATGATAATAGTTTGTAATTATGCATTAAAAAATAAAAATAAATTAGCGAAAATGGATTTCATTTCAATAAAACAAAAGTAAGGATTAGTGGCTTAATATATAAACTGTTCAATGTAATTCACTAATATAAGAAATGAGTTAAAAATACCCCCCCCCACACACACACATACACTATTTCCTTTTTGTAATTCTATTCCCATTAATTCCAGATGCATATAATTTCTTATATAATTCTATGTATCCCCTTTATATAAAACCATAAGAAATGATTTATGATTATCAATATTCCTAGTGGATGTAAAGGCATTTATCCATTTATCTATCTGTATATTACTGATACTGAGTGAATGACGAAAAACATGACTTTTTGAAATAATTTAACTTGATTACATTGAACATGATAAAAATAATGACCAAAGTCAAAAATGTTATTTGTAAGATGGTTTTATGAATAATTTATAAATCAGTTAAAGCCCCTATTTGAAATCAATAAAGATTTGACAGTTAGTTTGACTATTCACAGCGCATAATAACGAATCGCAGAGTTGAATCACGTGTACGTTAGTACATGAATACTACTGAATGTTGTGAAACAAGGGAGAAAAAAACTATTGTCCTGTGTTTTCTGGTTTTGATATTTCTCTTGACGTGCACTTTTTAAATTGTATAATCTCGAATATCATTCACAAACTAGATTAATAGTAAGTAGCCTAGACCATATAGATTTGTTTTTAATTGTTTAAAGAATTGTCTCTTATCTAAATATGGATATTATCATGTAAAATCATGATAAAGATATACAACATATTGCTTCATGGTAAATATCTAACTTACCTTCAACAATCCAGGCATATCATTAACTCATAATAATTGGATCCACAGTCTCAATTGCATAAAATGCATAAATCCACATGAGCTTATTCATGAAATCCATCAATATGTTCAAGGTATACAATCACCAACGTTCTCATTTAAAAATAAACATAAATTACATGTCAATGGTAATGATGATAATGACAAATTGAAGCTAATTAATCAGATTCCTAATAAAGGTAACCGTCAAGCTTTGATATTCGATACAAAACAAACATTTAAATATAAATATTTCAAGTGTAAACAACAAATTACAAATGTAAAACGGTTACATAATATGTATAAAAGATTTAAAAAGAGAACACTTATCAAAGACCCACATTATTCTACCACATATGAATATGTACCCTTCATAAAAAGTAAGTTATTGTTAAATATTCTATGCATAGTTACAATGAGTATGTTCTACAAATGTAAGTTCTATTAAGATACTTCACTTAAGGAATAATATTGATGTTTATTTTTTTATTGTTTTTTTATTGTATTATTTGTAAAGGCTTGTATTGTACTTTTGTCACTAATCCCCAATTAATTTAACGAGTCTTTGTAGGCATTTATGTTTGTTGTGCTAATACCTGGATATCATTTGTAGTTACAATGTGATTATATTTTAAATATTGATTAGTAGTGGAATCTACAACCCATGTCCCGTTTTTAATGCCGGCATGTCAAACAGATTATCAATGAGGGAAATATAAACTTTTGAGAATAATAATTATTAACATACTCAAAGAAGAGATTAGTGATTGTTGAAACTCTGTAACTTAGAAGAAGATTTATTGATGTTTGGTGTAGTAACTAGTGAAATTCAATCTCAGTTCAAACATAAACATTAGGTATATCCAGATAACCAGTCGCAAATATGATGTGGCACGTATCCTGAGTTTCACTTCTAATCACTTTCAAACTCGGATATACATACATGTTTATTTATATAATCAATGATAACAGTATATTTAATAATTAAGTGAATATTCGCCTTATTCAGTAGGATGTTTTTAGTGCAGCGTGGAACTCAACATAAAATATTTCAACAAGCTCCCTTTAATTGTTTGTAATGACTGCAATATTTGTACAAAAAATAAACGAGAATATTAGAAAATATGGGGATTATAGTATTATAGGATTTTCACAGTTGGATAAAAGGATCAATCTATGCAAGAGCGACATTGGAAACCTGAAAGCCATTTCGTCCAAGTACGGAACTCCTCAGCATCGCGCATGTTGGTTGTCAATGGTGATCTAGCTTAGACTGATTTGAGAATTAAACTGTGAAAATAAAAAATTTACATTAATGAGTAATATACATATTTAAAAGTCAAAGTTTTTTCATAACAAATGGCCTAGGTGAAGTATTGTAAAGGTTTTGTACTTTACTGTAGATATATCAATCCTAACGTTCTATCATATGTACAGAACGAAGGGTGTGAATAGAGCGAATGGCTAATAACTGGTAGCACAGAAGCTGGCAGCCACTTATGTTGTATCAAAATCAAAAATTAACGTAGTTAAATTGACACCAGCTTACATTTATTATCATAGTTACGTAATCAACACATCGTGAAACTATATAGCACTTTGCAGTCATAATCATACAGATTATTCAACTAGATTCCTCAATAGTGATTATACTATTGTAACGATACATGATTTAAATTAGCAGAAATTAGAGATCGTCAAGTTTTCCTATGTAAAGTTTATAGTTGGAAATAAGTATTTTAAGGATAGATAACTGATTAAGCTTTATTCTTTATTTTAACGCAAATTATAAAACACCGGGAAATTTCCACTTGAACTTACCAATATATTGCAAAGCAATTATCGGTAATCATTTTATAGAACTGTGTGAATACATAGCAGGCTTCTGGCATAATTGTTCATTTAAAGTTAATGCAATAGGATTTCATAAGTATCAATCAGTTGGGTTAGCCTGTTTACAAAACTTATTAGAATCTAAAAAACTAACAAGCATTTGGGTACTAATATTAACGTCCATGCACAAAATCAAATCTACAGTGAACTCAAAGTTTTCTAGCCAAAGAGATAGATGTTTAGATTCAGATGAAATAATGTTTAGTTTCAAGGAACCATAAAAGAATTATTATTGAATCAATACGATTAATAAATATGCTTCTTCACTTTCACTTGAAAACAATATAAATTAGTATTTTAATGTAACCAGGAGAAAATTTAGTTAGACAATAGGTAGTCTATCATCATATAGAAAACAAACCAATGTACTTTATACTCAGTCACATCAAATAAACAAACTTTATCCTCCCATAAACTTCGTATTACATCATTTCGAGTTTGAATTCTACATTCATAATAACAATTACTATCATGCGCATTATAAGCAAAGATGTGTATTGGCTAGTAGTGGAATGCAGGACACTTGTTTCGACGTATTTGGGACTGGTGAGTTGGATGTAGCTGCATCTCGGAATTGATGTTCACTGTGGGACTGCAACCCAGTACCGTTCGCTTCAAACGTCATCGCGTTATCCACTCAGCTACTGAGTCCTGATAACCATTTGCTTATGCAACTGGGTGAAGTTTAAATTTACTTAGTATTGTTTGTTTGAATCTTCCCATTAATGTTTAGGACTACAACAAAAACTAAAACAAAACGAAAAACATTATTCAATATAAAACACATTATATTGTTCACTTATTTAGTAACCATTATCAACCATTCACTTACATTCTACTGTTTACCCACAATTTATAAACATGATGCTACTGTTTTATGATCAATGTTAAAAAAAAAACATACAAGTGTCCTTCGTAAAGAATGAACTAAAATAGATAATAATAACAACAGTTTGGTCATTTCACAGAAAAAAGTATCTTTTTATCTATTGTTATCATGGTTGTTTTGTATTCTGCCTATGGATATATATATGTGGTAACCACATATCACCATGAAAACGTGTTAAATACATGAAATTCACTATTGTTATATACATTTATTCATTGATGACTTTTACAAGAGATAGTGTCATGTATGTTGTTGGATGAGCTTTTCTCTGTGTTTCTTTATATATAGTAGAGATAGTTAAACTACTGATGAATGGTTTAATAAACAATACAACTTTGATAGCAGTTCCCTTCTTAATTGTTGCCAAATAAAGTTGATTGTACGGGTTTTTTATCTAAACTTAGTGTACACATTTGATATATCTAATACATGTGTCGTCATTAACAAGCTTTTTTAAGTACAAATCGTTAAGAATACTGCGTTAGAAATCATATGATAATAACTAATAAATGGAACTGACAAATCTGCAGGTGAATTGTAGTTTACCTGAGATCATGAACCGATCACTGTTAAGCTACCAATGAAAACCAAGAAGGGCAACACCATGGCTTGTTTAACTTTAGACATTTACACTGTTAGATCTAACTTCACTAGTCTAGATGTTAAGCATTCGCAAGCGAGACCGATAGTTCTTAGTAGGAGTGCCTCGTACAGGATTGTGGATAAGAACAAAACGGCCGGTCAGTTCTCCCAGGCTTTCAATGGTGCTTTAGCATTGATCAGATCATGATTTCAATAAGAAATAAACAATCTCCGCAACCATGTACTGTAATTAATTTGTCAAATTAACAATGATTATCAAAAAATAACAACATTTAGAAAAGCATTTAAAAATCTGGGTACGTTGAACAGCTAAAAATGGTGATGTTTCAATGACTGTTTAAACCAATGCCGTTTTTTTGGTATAAAGTCTAAGACTCAACAGTTACCATAAATCCTTTTCAATGAAATAGTTATAAAAAATTGAAAATTGTAAATATATAAGGATGATATAATATCATCTAAACGTAATACCTTTCACCACACCCTTTCCCACTCGAATAATATTGGTAACAATGGAAATTAAAATAATCCCTCTATCTATTGAATACTTGATTACAGTAAAACCATTTTAGTAAAACAATGTACGGTGTTACAAAACAACCCAGTTTCAGATGTATTTCATCTGTGAATATTCTAAGAAAGTTTTGTGTTAAAACAGATTTCAGTGATGATTATCAACCATTTACAAGCTTCTAATTAGCTTTGTTCGTTTGACATTATTTTTCCATAGCATAATTTATTCAGTAGATAAGTACTATATTAATAACTTTCCGCTCACAAATGAACAATCAATAGATAGTGACGAATATCTAGTTCTTAACAGTTATCGAATAAGATCAATTAGGTTGAGGCGTGGTCACTAGTTTGTGTGACGCAATTTCGTGAACCCTGTGTTTATATGTTAGGTGAATGGAAATAGTCCATATCTCAGTGACAAATAAATTGAAAACATTTCATTTCTACAAGAGCTTAGCAGCATCCTGAAATAATTAAATGGGAAAGTCTCAAACTATGAAGCTGGACGATACATGTTTGAATCCCAGGGGTTCATCGGTTTCTACAAATATCCAACTAGGCAATATGAATAACTTTCAAACCTTAGTTTTTCCATACTATATATTAGTGTTATGTCCCGAAGAGAATTATGAATGGTAACTTTTGAGAACTATTTATGACCCAATATGATACGCATATTTCCCATTGTGTAATTGGTATGTAACTAAACTATTCATATTTGTGTCCTTCCTATTATAAACTTTATTTTGACCCATACACTATTATTATACGATTTACCATTCTTGAATTATCCTCAGTCTATTAATTGCTGTTCCCCACATTCACAGACACATTTGGCTAAATATTGTACAAATGTTGTTTTCTTATTTCATGGTACGATATGGTCTGTATGTTTGGTATAAGACCCCGTATGTTTGAAATGCAGTGATTCATACCGCAGAGGTTGTTATTGGTGTTCTGGACTTAACTGGCTAAGCTAAGCAGAAACAGGACCGAAAAGTGTTCTAGACTGCTCGCATGGGTTTCTTATGTCACTGGTCCGGTCAATAAATCACTGCTCTCTAATAAGCGGGTACAAGATATAACAATCAGCTTCATAAATTTATCTTATTCTTAAACAATAGAATCCTAATTTAAATTAATCTCATTTAGGAAAGTATTTTACTTCATAGAAATAGAAAATACATTGGCTTATTTAACTGATCTACCCAATTTCATTATACATTATACTTTTAGTCACAGACTCAAGCAAATCATAATTATTACCAATAAATTTTTTTTCCTGGAAATATTGAAACCAAATAGATTTTATTTTTGTTTGTTTTTTGTTCAATACTTAATCCAGAAAAAAATGTATTTAGTCTGATTACCGTCTTTTCCTAAACGTTTAATTAGATTTACTTGTTTCAGAGACATTTTGCTTTTCTATTATTTTAATAACCAACTAACCACCATTTGAGACTATATTCATAGTATATT